CAGCGAGGAATACATATCATAACCATTTCTCTCGCGTATCTTCAGCGTCGGAGGATCCGCGCAACGGTGCCCGGAATCTCGAACGTGACCGCGCGACAACGACGACAACGACGACGACGGCAGCGGGGCAGCGGCGGGTCAGGGGCGTGCGGGGGAGGGAGCCGCGACGTATCGCCGATAAAGCGGCGCGCCGTGCATCATCAATATGGCGGCGAATCTCGAGGAGGAGCAGAGCTTACGCGAGTGCGAGGAATACGTGCAGAGACACAATATCCAACAGGTCCTGAAAGACTGTATAGTGCAACTGTGCGTGGGCCGGCCCGAGAACCCGATCTCCTTCCTGCGGGAGTACTTCCAGAAGCTGGAAAGGGTACGTAGACCGTGTGGCGCGCGGCCGCGATTAACCTGACCACGGGAAAGAAAGAGAGAGAGAGCGAGAGACGAATAATACGCCGTGAATTCGCCCGTCCGCGGCTCCGCTCGCTCGCGGAGCGACGTCGCGAGTCCCTTCGACGAAGGGCCGAGGTTCCCCGACTCGCGCGAAGGACACCGAGGGAACCACGACGTCCGATGACGTGAATACGCGTGATCGGGGCCAGAACGTGACCAGAGCCCGCCCGAGACCGTCTCCCCTCGTTCTCTCGAGTCACCGCGACGTTTCCTCGAATCTCTCTCAGAATTTCATGTGCCTTGTCGATACTGCGAGCCTGTCGTCGCGTCGCGCGGCGAGCCTGTCTCTCCTCCGACGTGCGGCGAGGTGACAGGTCCTTGCCCTCTTCCGATATTCTTCGCCGATCGTCCCGACGAGTTGCGACGAACGTCGCATGAATCGATCGTGTTGTGATTCCGCGGGGAGATTGATTTCCGCTATCAGGTCCCGTGTTCTACTTAAAGTAAACATTGCAATCGGCGGGCCGCGCGTATCACCGCGTGAGGCGAGCGCGTCGCGTTATCTCGACGTCGCGTTATCAGACAATCGTGATTCGTCGGGGGGGAAAAAAAAAATCTCCGAGGCTCGTTGCACGGGCCACGGTAGCGCGGGGATCAACGTCTCGTGCCCTGCCAGGAGATATGTATTTTCCGGTACGTCGTTTACGCGTGATCGACGCATCAGAATAACGACCAGGCGAACGGGAGTCGGAGCAGCGCAATCGTCGCGATGGGATGCGCGGCGCGTGACAGGCGCTGCCATCTGTGGCCGCTTTCGCGACAATAACGACGGTCGTTATGGCAGGTGCCTGACGTACCGTGGACGATAAATTGTCGCGCGTGATAAATTTAGGTTATATCCAAAGAGATTATACATATGCAGGTTAGGTTAGGTTATATCACGCAATGGACTCTCCGCTTGCGCTCTTCCGTTGTGCTATTTTCCCGAGCGAACTTTTTGCAGGGCAAGAAACAGCTGAGCTTTTTGCGAGCTAAAAATGAGGTAGGGAGGGTAGGATGTGGAGAACGAATCTCGCGTGAGAAAGAGAGAGAATGTATATACGCGAGATGCCGAACGTCTCTCTCGCGTGAGCATCATCCTCGGAGGAGGATTCCGTTTAATCAATGTGGTTATCCCTTCGCGTGGTATTCCAGGTTCATCCCTCTCCCCCCTCCCTCCCCGCCGAACGGATCGGATAAGTGGATTTGCGAAGGGCGGACGTCTCCCGGATGATTGAGCTACGTCAATCGGCGCGGCGTTCGGGCGTGTATATAACGCTACGTATATCCTCGCTCTGGCGTGATCCTTGATGCACAGTTTCCGCAGGCCCCCGAGACCTTTCGCCGCCCCGTTACCTTTCCCATTTAAACGCTAGGGCAATTACGACGTTATGCGGCCGCACGTTCGTGCAGTTGCCACCCACGCGGTTGGAGAACGCGACGCGTGTCGCCCGCGGGGAGATCGAAGTCAGCTGGCTCGGAGGCGACTCGCGTGGATCGACGGGGCCGCCTAAAGTAAAAGCGGAGGCACCGCTGAGCGCGACCAGCGACAGCTCTCACGCGGTGCCATCCTCGCGCGAGGAACGACAGCTCGGGGGGGGGGGGCTCTCTCACGAGCGCATGCACGAGGAATTCCGCGGGATTCCTTTGGGATCGCGGGACCGCGGCCACTCTCCTGGATCGACCGGCTGCACAGATATATTTCGTATTTTCTCGCTGCGACGTATATTAAAATGTTTATATACCAGGCCGCGCGAACTGCGTAGGCCGAAGGCCGCTCCCGAGGCGGAGAACGAAATATGGCGAGCTATTTCGCCGCTGCGAAAAAGGAATCGATATAAGCAAGCAGGAGATTTCGTCAAGGTGACGTTAATTCCCCTTCAGCGAGGCCGATCTCGTTGGTACTAAATGTAGGTATACCTACTTTTCCTGAGCATTTTCACTCTCTTTTTCTCTCTCTCTCTTCCGTTTTGCGTCCTCTGGCCGATTGACACATTTTCATTCATATCTCTCTTGCAACAAAGGAAAAACGATTCATTAATTAAAAATTAAAAGGTCTTTTAAATTGCTTTTACATGTATTGTAAAATCTTTTTTTTTTCTTCAGAGTAAATAAATCTATCAGCGTGTTTTGTCGGCAAAATGCTGGCAGAATAATAGAATAAAGTTTTGTTAAATGATGAATGATGAGCATGACGACAGAGACTGACTGCAGAAGCCGAGAGCAGAATCTGCCATTTCGTAGCCATTTAAATGATACATTCCCTTTAAATGACCGCAAAATGCGGATCCCGTTTGATCTCTGCCGGCAGTCTGCAATGTCAAGTTACATCGATCGCTGTCAAAAATCGGTAGGCGAGATGACGTGCCTTAACGCGAACGCGGTTGATGATACCGATGATACCGCCGCAATATTCCGCTGGCGAGGCTGATAGACGCGCGCTGCCAACATATCGCCTAATAGCGGGGTTGGCTCCGTCGAACACTCGCCTGGGAATGATCGTTTCCGTTCCCATAATGCCGCGGAGATCTATAGGAATCACGCGAGGGTGTCTTCGATCGAACGTCTCCGTGTCGCGCGCGTCAGTCAGCGTGACGGTGCAGCGACGCGCGCCGACGACGACGGTGCCGTCGAGCGGAAGGCGAAGACGCGGGACGGCGGACTCGTCGCCTCGCGTGTTTGCCTTCCGTGCTTATGCGGTGTACACGGCAAAAAGCGCGCGTGCGAGAGAGAAAGAGGGAGAGAGGAACGTATATGTACATACATATACACACGCACACATGCGAGATGGAAGAAGAGAGCGGAATCTATTTCTCGGGAACAGAAAAATCGTCCCGTTCCCTCGGGAACGGGGTGAGAAACCCGACGCCTGCGAGTGAGAATAATAATCGAAAAAAATCACCGCGGGGGAGGAAAAAAGCGAACTGCGAGGAAAACGTATAGGAGTTTATATAGAAGCGAAAGTTGAGCGTGACGCGAGGTATAAGGAGAACGGCGGGTAAACAAGCGCGCAAACAACCCCTCTGAAGTGTCCTCGCAATTAAAGCCGGGAGTCTGCGGCAGCAATTAAGTGGGATTGGATGAAGAATCGGATTTTGCCGTTGATGCTTTTACGCGAAAGTAAAAACTCCTTTCTCGCAGTCCACACTCTCGCGCGACTTCGAAAGCCGCTTCAGCGTGGGCGGAAGAGGTATATAAGACTTCTTCAGAACACACCCTCGGAGAGTTTCTCATTAATTGAAGCAATGGCGTGCCTCCTCCCTCCCTCCTCCCTCCCCCCCCCTTTCCCTTTCTGTAAAAGTTATTTACCTTAAATAACCGCACGAATTTTTTGTTCAGGTCTGCGTATAGTCGTAAAGCACCCTCTGTCGTATGCCCGGCCGTAGGAAGGGCGTAGTAAGAGAAAAGCGGAAAGCAAAAGAAGGAGAGCGACATCGCGGCGAGACGGGGGGGGAGGGAGGGAAGGGGGATGAAAGGGCTTTCGCGATTGTGTACGCGTGTACATGTACGCGTGCGTGCGCGTGTGTGAGATGCGCGCAAGAGGAGGGAGAAAGAGAGCGCGATATAGGGGCAGCTGATCTAAACATAGAGCACGCTCGAAATATAACGAGACGCAACCTTACAGTCAGGATAGAGAGAGGAGAGAGAGAGAGAGAGAGAGAGAAAAGGCGTTAAAAACAACCGGCAGTCCACAAAAATGTGAGACGACGAAGGAATCCAGCCGCCGACGGATTTTTGTCCTCTTTCTCTTGCGCGCCTCGGCGCCGATCTTCCTCCGACGTCATCGCCAGGAACGGCGTTCGCGTCGCGGCGCCTGAATTTATGACAATAAAATATTCAAGTGTCTCCCGTTTGACAATACCGCCTCGGCGGTATCGCGCCTCGGCGATCTCTCCACGGGACAGGAGATGCAAATTGACGTATCGACGAAAGTGAAACTACGGAGTAAGCGGGAGAGAACGATTTTCGACCACGGCATTCGCAGTAACGCGAAATAAGGTATACAACGAAATGAAATAATGGAAAAAATGATAAAATAACGACGAAAAAAAAAAGGTGATGAGAAAAATAATTGTAAACAAAATCAACGCACACTCTCTTTATTTTCGCAAAATTAACGTCTCTAATCTCTAGCTCTTTAACTGCAGCTCCAGCTATATGGCATTGATAAAAAGTCGGCGCGCAGTGGGATGCCAGCTGCGAAGTAGTGGGAAGTAACGGTGTCACTGAAACATGTTTCCTACACACAAGACTGCGTATTACGAGTCTCCCGCAGTTTTACGAGCCGAGGTCTTGAAAAATGCCGTCATCATCGCCGCCGCCGCCGCCGTCGTCGCCGTCGCCGCCGCTGCCGCCTCCGCCTCCGCGCCACCACCGCCGCGGATCGATCCGCCGCAGGCGAACTCACGTTCGCGCGTTAACGCGAGCGGAAGACCTTACTTACCGACTACCACGAGAGACAGCATCTCGGCGGCACATCCACATCCCGTCCAGGAATCGTCGGGCGGGCGGGCGCCGAGTCCGGCGGCGAGCGTGCAAACGAGCAGCAGCAGCGGCAGCGGCAACAGCAGTAGTATACGCGTATACCGACGCTGTCGCGCCGACGGGACGGACGCGCGCGCGTGCTAGATCGCCTCCGACCTCTAATTGGATTCCGTCCGAGGCCTTATAAAATCGCGAAGCGGGCGAGAGAAGGAGGAGGAAGAGGAGGCGGCGACAACGACGACGAAGACGCGAGATCGCGTGTGCGACGACGGGACGACGACGACGACGGCGGCGGCAGTGGCGGAGACGATCTCCTTTCCCGTGCGTTCGCGAGAACTCGCGAGATCGCCGACCTACGACACGCGCTACCGCGGAAAGCGGCCGTTTCACGAGTGTTAACGCATCCGCGTAAAAAAGCAGAGGAAAACACGGGGGCGAACGGTGAAAAGGAAAGCGAAGAAAAAGGAGGAGGATCGAGAGAAATGATGAATAAGGTACGAGAAAGGGAGGGAGGAGGAACGAGTGCGCGCCGGCCATAATCGTCCGAGTTACGCGCGTAACTATAATTGATCTCGAGCGATAGATCACCGTTAATCGTCCCGACGGAGTTTTGCGCTTCAAGATTCTGCGTCTTCTTTCGCTTTCCGTCTCGAAACTAAGTTAAAAGTAGCTAACGATCTTACGTGTTCCGCACAAATTCGTAGTGCCGAAAAGTGAAAGAAAAAGAAATCCTCACCGTGAATCCTTACCCTTTGAAGAAGCTTTTTTGATCGAAGGAGTTGTTATAATTTTCAAGGAGTCGCGCATATAATTGTAAACTTTTTTCTCCTTTCATCTTTCTAATTTTGGATTTTTAATAATGCGTCATTGTTTCACGTGAATTAACCGACTGTTCAGCAAACCCTTATAGAAATTCTATTGGATTTATATTTTTAGGAAAAAAAAAATTATATGTGACTGACCGTGCGATTACCATTAAAGAAAGAAGACTTGACATTAAAAGCTATAGGCGTAAACACAGTAAATCACACAGGAAAGGCCATCTCTTTTTATTTGAAAAATTACGACAGCCACTCTTTAGTCTCGCTTCATACCTTCTCGTATATGGCACGAAGGATCCTTGTAAATGGCAACTATGGTCTTTTACTATGCCGCTCGCGTTGGCACGAAGAACCTTCTTCAACGAAAAGTAATTTTCTAAGAGTATGGCATTTACACAGCCTTTTTACGTCATCTTCGAAGAAAACGCGAAAAAACAGTCCACTTTCAAGATCAAGAAATAAGATCAGTGTGAGGAATGATTGATCTATCGATCGGTCGTGCGTTTGACTTAATTCTTACGAGCGTTATCTCGGAATAATTAATCTAAATTATGAGTTCTACTTTTTTTTTTACAGTCCACATTGAATTTTCAAGAATACTTTTTGTTACGTGTATATTTATTCATTAATTTTTTTAGCATTCCGAGGACATTTTCTTTATAGAGATTGTTTTCTTTTTTCTAGCCATCCTTGCAAGTATTTCCACTCTGCGAAAAAGATGTAAGCTTGGAAAAACACTTGCGGCCGAGATGACGAGAGTAAGGCTCTCTCGTGTCGGGATGTGTGTTCATGGATGTGAATGTGTGTGCATGTGCGTGTGGGGAATGTACGCGTGTAAGCACTTATGGGCCGCAGCCGATGACTATATACACACACGTATATATCATCATTAACTAGAGATTGTATAAGAGAGCGCGTCTGTTCGTTGATTCTGATGACTTTGAGCAGAATATAATATGGCGCGTTTTATATATATATATATATATATATATATATATATATATATTTGCGCGCTGTAAATTACACATAGTTATGCACATAGTTTACTTAGTTGTTCATGCTCGCATGCGTCTCTCACTTCGATTATCTGACTGCATAATTTTCCCTCCGTTCCGAAGTTCATTTGAGACGATCGATAATGCAATTTGTTTCGGGAGCAAAAATTTTTCCCGGGATAAAAATTTTGCGCATATATAATTTTACGCCCCACGGACGTAACGTATGAGACAGAATTGCGGAATCGGAATTGTATCCAACGGAATTAGAACCGTGTTCTATTTTTGCGGGCCGAAAGAGCGGCGCGCGCCCGCGCGCCAGGTATGCGTAGTAAACTGACAGAATTTAATAACCGCGGTCCGCGATTCGAGGCGATTCAGTTACGTATGTTGTTTGTGATAGCAGCGTGACATAATGCGTCTTTATTATATTACCGCGTGCAGACGCAGCCTGCGATAATAATAAGCCGACGGCGACGGTCTCGAAAATAAGATTGTAGACAAAGAGTCGATTTAATTGCACGCAAACAAATTATAATTGCATTTTATATGCAATTATAATTTGAATCTATAGTTAGCGTGTCGTACAATGTTTTCGCTTAATTTATGATTTATATTGGCAATTAAATTAATTAAAAATATTAAATTGCAGATGGGATCCCGATTTATAGATGACGATTTATAGATCGTCTGTAAAATTGAACTTGAAACGTAAACAGGTACAAACGAACGCACGGCGATTCTGAAGGATATGATTTCGTCTGGCGTATCTCTGTTGGATAATTCCGATAAATGGGAGTTCTGCTTTTCTATTTTTAATGCACAACAGAGGCGCATGTCGGACACCCAGACGCGTCTTTGCAGGCAGAAAGAGAGAGAGACGTGCGACGAGCGATTTATCGGATCGTCAAGTTTTATGGACCCATTATAGGAGCTGCGTTACATCGAAGCGAATCATTAGTGAATCGCGATCGAGTCCCCTCCCCTCGTATCGATAATTGCCATTCATGAGCCGTGTGCCTGGATGACGTCATTGAATGATTTATTTTGAAATTATGAAACTTGAATGTCCTTCCTATTAAAAGCACCAACGTCTAAGTGACGTTTTAATGAAGATCCCGAGAGCAGGAAGCAGATTAATCTCGCAACAAGTTGAGGGAGGGTTCCGCTCCGAATCTCTAATTCATCCGGCATTTCTTTTCTCAGGATACCAGCATCACTTCCGTGTTTCTCACGAATTACTAATGGATAACTGAATGGGATAACAGATACAGTTTCACCGTGTCTTAAAATTTTAGAGATCATCGAACAGGCTCGAACTGCATGTACGAACAAATGTTCGTACAAATGCACGAAGAAATATTTCTCCTTCTTCAATTTACTTTACATCGCGACTTTATGTGAGACGCGTAAATGTCGCGCTCGGGACGTGTGTTCCTCGGCTCGGTGAGACTCCCCGAAATAGATGCGATGGCTCCTCGTGCATTCGAGCAACGTTAGCGTGCGCGGGCATATTATCACGGCAATTAACGGGAGAATTGCGAATTGCGCTGATTTGAATATACTCGTTTAGCGCGCGATGCACCGCGAAGGCTCGACGGCGAGGAGAGAAAGAGAGAGACGGCGGCGTTCGTGCGTGAAAACGCCAACTGACCTATGGCATTATTCACTTACCTCTCTCTCTCTCACCCCGGCGGTGTGCATCGTGCATCGTGATACATAAGCCGATGGTAATACCGAGGTTTTATCTAAAGACCTACATAATTTATAATTTCACGGTAATTATATGCGTGGCGCGGCGAGGAACCCCCGACCCACGAGGGTCGCGCGTGGTTAATGAATTATTAATTTGCGTCCCGTTTTTTTTTTTTTTTTTTTTTTTTTTTAAGCGCATTTTGTGCTCCTCCGAAAAGACCCGAATGTATGCAGCAACACACGGTTGACCTTAACGCGTCGCTCCGATCCTCTTTCGACGGAGACGAGCACCGTATACATGAAGGCGATAATTTTTTAAACTCTTTTAAATCATTGAAAGTACATGTGCGCGGCAGTGCGCGCTTCAGTCGAGAATCAGTCGCAAAAAATTAATAAAAAAAAAAGGAATACTTGAAAAACACGGAGGATTTTTAAAGATATAGGGAACGTGTTAATTTATATTGCGCACTCCGCGCTGCCAAGACGGCTTTCTATATTATTTATCAGGCCAATCGATAACCGATTCTCGTAAGAATATGTTATATCGCGTTTTTTCCTTCTGTATTAATTGACTGCATTAATTATGGAGCTTCCCTTTTCGACGAGTTAATCCGTCGGGACTGAAAAACCGATTACATCGGGAAAAAAACAGGAATAAGATATACGTCATATGTAATCGTTATATTTTGTAAGAGTGATTTCTACGTCGTCGTATGGAAATTAAGTGACACAGTGTATGATGCATACGATGATGTGACAATTTTTAATCACTTACGACTCGAAGAATAGCTGCAATAAGTCATCGACATTTTAATTAAGGATCTCTCGCGCTTAGCTATCATCTCGACTAATACTTCGTCTTTGTTTATGTACAGGAACAGGCTCACGATGCCAAACAACAGATCGCCACGAGTCCCGAGGATACGGAGGACATGCCCGCGGGGCAGCAGGGCCCGCAGGTGCCGCGGCGGCGGGGCGGAATCTCAGCGGAGCCGGTCTCCGAGGAGGATGCCACCAGTTACGTCAAGAAGGTCGTACCTAAGGACTACAAAACCATGGCTGCCCTGAGCAAGGCGATCGCCAAGAACGTCCTGTTCGCGCATCTGGACGAGAACGAGCGCTCCGACATATTCGACGCGATGTTCCCCGTGACCTTTCTGCCTGGCGAGGCGATCATTCGTCAAGGTGCGCGATAACAGTATCTTGCTTCCTCCTTTCTTATCGTCCCCGTTCGATTTGCCGTTAATTCGTCGAAATGAACGAGCGCCATCATGTATTTTCCCAGGCGACGAGGGCGACAACTTCTACGTGATCGATCAAGGGGAAGTCGAAATATTCGTCAACGGCGAGCTGGCGACGACGATCGGCGAGGGTGGGAGCTTCGGCGAGCTCGCGTTAATCTACGGAACGCCGCGCGCCGCCACGGTCAGAGCGAAAACCGACGTGAAGCTCTGGGGCATCGACAGGGACTCGTACCGCAGAATTCTCATGGGCTCCACCATAAGGAAAAGAAAAATGTACGAGGAGTTCTTATCCAGGGTCTCAATACTGGGTGAGTCTCAACACTCTTCGTTCCCCGGAGCATTCACTGCTTTACCCTTCGCTCGCGTAAATCGATCGGAAAGATGTCTTCTTCGGAAACTCTGAGGATAATAAAATCTTGCGGCGTCGAAGGTCGCGCGCGGCAAGATATGGCGCGGTAGCCAATCACTTTACCGCTTTTCCACAAGAGCGAAAGGAAATCTTGCCGCGCGGCAAGCGTTGTCGCATTCTCGGTGCCACATTACGCTCTACACAAAGTTAAAATAGTAAAAGTAATCCTCTTAAGATTAAATGGGTAGGAAGATAAAATGGAAAGGGCTATCAGTGATATTTACGGCGCACTTTGCAGAATCCTTGGATAAATGGGAGAGACTCACAGTGGCAGACGCTCTGGAGCCGGTGGCGTTCGACGACGGTGAAACGATAGTCCGACAGGGCGAACCGGGTGAAGATTTTTATATAATCGTCGAGGGTACGGCGGTGGTCCTTCAGCAACGCTCGGAAGGGGACGAGCCCGCGGAGGTCGGCCGTTTAGGACCATCGGATTACTTCGGTAATGCAAAATCCAGAGCGGTTGATAACGAATTTTCGCGGATAGTTGATTGCAGAGAAGCTAGCATATACAGTTGTCCTAGTAGCAAGATAATGTTTAATACTTTTTATTGCAATAACATCAGAATTTACAATTTTTTAATAGCTAGTGATGATGTTAAAGCAATCTAATGCGTCAATCTAATTCCGCAAATTCAATTAACTGCGAAACTTATAAATTTTTATGCGAAATTGCAATTAATTTTACGCGTAAGAGGATTGAAACGACTTGTTCGACGACGGAAACTTTTTTTCTGTACAGGGGAAATAGCGCTACTGCTGGACAGGCCCCGAGCGGCGACCGTGGTGGCCAGGGGTCCGTTGAAGTGTGTGAAACTGGATCGGGCGCGGTTCGAGCGGGTCTTAGGTCCGTGCGCCGATATTCTGAAACGCAACATCACCCAGTATAACAGCTTCGTGTCCCTCTCCGTGTAAACGGACTCGTATCTCTCCGCATCCACTCCTCTCCTCCCCCACCCCCCCACCTCTTCTCCGACTCCAAATTCCGTCATCGCAGTCAGCGCTGCCAATCATCCATCCCCCTCCGACTTCATTTTCCACCGAGGGCTACGTTCTTTCGCCGTACCATAGTTAAATCTTTTTTTATTTGATTAATATTTATATGTAAGTGAATTAATGTATTACGTCAGCTACCAATCAGATGTGTACCACGCCATACACACAGACACAGAAAGAAAAACAAAACGGTATCGTTAGAGAGACGCTGTTAATATATTTACCGTAAGGCTATTTACGCACTGTGTAGCTCGCGACTCGATGCCGACGCGCACGCGAATTCATATTTGACGTTGATCTCTTCCGCGCGATCTGTTCCTACTCGTGGTGTGAGATTCTCACGTGCACGAGAAATTATTAATCCGTTAACGTCTGACCTTTTTCGAGGGGCTGAGGATCTAGTTTTAAAAAAGAAAGAGCGAATGTAAACAAAACAAAACAAAAACTACGAAGGGTACCGGATACTAGTAGTTTATGTTAGAGAACAGGTTCCAATTCGTGTGAGACCATGTCCCTCTTCGCTTGAGGACGCTAACGGGTTAATCCGGTTAATGGCACGTTGCGCACATCCCGAGTGCATTGTAGAGATCTTTGATCGAAGCCGATACGCGTGTTCCGACGTGGTTTACAAATCGCATCCCGAGGTCCAACGTCGAAGACGCAGACGCTCGTGTTATTGCGCGAATCCGTGATCAAACCACGTTAAATTCTTCGAACCACGTTAATATCAGAGCCATTTTTAAGGCTTCTATTTACGTCAGAAGCGAAAAAATTGTATTGCCTCCCGCAACTCGTTCGATGGAGTAAATTGGTGAGATACACCAAGTCTTTCTATGATCCTGCATCCACGGTGATAAATAAGTCTACATATATATATATATATTTTGAATGTGGATCTCGCGACATCCGATTAAAACTTTTGCAGCGTTTAATTTGCGAACCGAGGTCTTTGGTGAATTTCACAAGTCTGTTCTGTCGAATAGAGGTAGTTGTATGTATAAAAAAAAAACTTGCTCCTTGCAAACGTATTGTAAGTATTGCGTAAAGCATATACGTACGAATTTTCGCTTCCGATGTAATCCGGATGCAGCTGCAGTGACGAGCCAGTAGCCGTAAATATCCAGCAGTGAGGATCGGCGTTGAAAGCGACGTTTTCTCGTTTACTGTTATATACTTTAAATGTTCTATGTTGTCTCATGGATTGTTAAATTATTTAACATTTAAATTATTTTATCTACCGATTGCGAATCGGTATATATAGATATATACATAATTAGCAACGACAACGTAAGTGTCGGTCGCGATTTGCAATTGCGGACGTCGAGAGTGGTTAATATTTATTATTAAGCGAAGCAGCATCGTCGAGGCGAAGTCGAGGCAGAACGAGTCGCAATCTATGTCTCCTCTAAAAAGTGCGCTAGGTTTATAGTACGACAAGCGAGACAAAAAAAAAATATAAGGTACAACGTCAGAAAATTAAATAATTTATTATGCACAACATCGTATTCGGATCAAGTATTGTACAATGAGTTCATTTTTTCCCTTTCCGAATCCGTGTAATGCGGCTGATGTATGCACATTCCATGCGCGCGAATGCGAGAGAGTTAAAACGCGGGAGAGTCCCGATCACGTGGAGAATTCCAACGAGTATAGGGCAAATCTAATAACGAAAAGAGCATCGTTGCACCACGCGCGGCGCATGGGACACTCGTTAAAATTAATTAATTACAAGATCACTCGGGCACACGAGAACCGATGGTGATATCGCCACTCGTCACGCGAGGTATGCAGCGAAGGCTGTCCTCCCCTTCATCTTCGGTCTTCCGTCTTCGTCCCCCAAACCCGGACCATCTTCAATGTACATATGGTTTCATCCAACGACGTTACGTGCGAAACGATCTTGCGACTTCTTCCCTCCGTCTGACCTCTGACCGGCTTTCCTCGGGCTTGTCCGGGAAATGATCACTTATCGCGAACCAGGTTACGCTCTCTGTTCGTCGAAGGAGAGCGTCTCTATATCGAGCACGAGCAGCGTGAACGTCACCCATAGTGTCCTCGCAAACGCGTCTCGTGTCTCCGAAATTGTAAAACGAAATCCTTATCCGCGTTCTCTTTTGAAGCAATCCCCCTCTCTTCGAAGGGAGAGAAGCTTGCGTTGCGGCTCGGCTGGGGCGGCTACGGGTTGTTTTTCGGGTGCAGTAATACTTAAAGGAACACGTGGAAAATCGATCGAGCATCGTGGCAGTGAAGCGTGCATGCGCATCACGCTACGAATGATTGAAAAGGAGAGAGCGGTCGTCCCGACAACGAAAGAAGGATGAACTTTTTTTTTCCTATTGCGAAGACCGTAGACTGTACCGTTTTATGTTGTGAATATGATCCTCGACGAGTTACAACGATTTTTTTTTTGCTCATCTAATCTTTTTAGTGAGGTAGCGCCGAACGAACGGAAACGATCATCCGTCCCGACTTTTTGTACAATTTCCAGGAGTCCCCGGCGAGAGATAGAGAGAGCCGCATCTATTGTCCTCTTGCGATATATGTACAATTGCGCGCGGGGGAACCGAACGAGGGGGCGTGTTATGTACAAATTCACAGTCGAAGCTGTAGTCGAAGTTCCCAAGCTTTCGATTTTTTTTTTTGCGCCTGACGGAGATGAGATTGCGCCACCGCCGTGGGACGATGATCTGAAGATCGTTTGCGAGAGGTAGAGCCAGCACACACACACACGGGGTCTTTCCGAGAGCGAGGAAAATGTTTACGGAAACGATTGCGTACCCCAGCGAAATGGAACATCTATCTAAGCACTGTATATATGCATATGAGTCACACAAGCGTCGGAAACATATGCATATACACGTGAGACTTTACGCGTGTACGCGTGCGTGTGTATATATATATATACGTGAATGGATGCATGTGTATTATTGTGTGTGTGTGGCCCTTTCTTTTTTTTTCGCGTGTTAAAATTTATCTTCCGCCACAAGGGGTAAAGGTAGGACAGTAGAGTGGCGTTGCCTTCTACCAACCACCTAGACTACCACTGCTTGCCTTGCAGTCGATTTGCTGTCGAGCGAGATCAACGTAAACCAAGCCGAACTCGCTGACAAATTCATAAAACTTGTCCAAAGAATCAAAGGCCAATTCCGCTACGACGAAATGAACCGCCAAATTTTGCCGGTAGCTAAACAGCAGAAGAAATGCAAACGTTAGATAACGGCCGCATACGGTGATGTGATAGTGAGATACATAAAACAGAAAGAAAAAACAATTAAATATGCAATTAACTTTCGGCTACGACGTCCTGTAACAGAAATCTGCAATTATAGTACATGTGGTCCATGTTTCTTCGTAAATATCATTTGTTGAAACATGGCGCTGGAATTGGATTAGACATTTAGAAAGATCAATTCGATAAAAGCATACCGATTGAAAGTTTCGATATACTTTGTCAATTATTACTTTATATACTTGGTAAATTATAATTTAGGAGAGAATTTCCTTTTAGAAAGCAGGTGCCACAATACCGAAAAAAAAAAAAACGAATATGCTTGCATTTACTGATGAAAATATGCTATTCTCCAAGCTCTTCTGAAAAGTTCGTTAAGGGATTGTATTGCTTTCTATTGCACTATTTTAATGAAAAGATATAATAATATACATATGATTCTCTAATTGTCATTATTATGCAATTGAATTTGACAAAATTAAAATCATTGGTTAAAATCAGCATAAATTATTTTTACCAACATAAAAAGTATACAATCCCTTAATGGAAAATATTTAAAAAATATTTAAAAAATAATTAAATTTAAATACGTATCCATATAGTATAATAGTAATAGTAAGTAAGATTTTAATACGTACGACTTTATCATGAATTTCAATGCCTTCTTTCGCTCTCTCGCGACAAACCAATCCATCAAGAAGGCAGACATACGCGGCGCCGTCCTATATAGTTTGAAAAAAGCATGGAAGTTACCCAACCACCAAGCCGATCGTATTTTCAACGCGTGCTTTATGCACTCGTCGTTTTTATCCTCTGCCGAAAGTGCTGCTAAAATGGTCGTTAAATCTGAAATCGTAAAAAAAAAATCCATCATTATTCTAATGTCTAGAATATTCTAATAATATGATTTGATCTCAGGAAATATCAACTGCTAATCTCGTTAGTTTATTTTACCAACCTTGAGTATTTTTCGTGAAGATGTAATAGAGAATGCGATACGCGATGAATTCGCATCGGTTCTCGCCATCGAGATCCTGATACAGCATCTTCAGCTGTGTCTGACACTGATTGAATTCCTCGTGATCACCGCGTTCTAAAGCTACACGGGCGTGGGTTTCATATACATGAACTGTAAACGCGTCCCTGATACCTTGCACGGTAAGATCTTGCCGGATGGATTTTAATTGGTCGCAAGCATATCGGTAGTCCTGGTCGGCCAGCCAACGTTTCTTGACATGGGCCAAAGAATTTTGAAGTACACTTACCGGTCGAACTGCAGAAGGAGCAGGAGCCTGTGACAAATATTGTAAAATTTCGTTAAAAAAAAAAATGCGTGCCCGCGAATTACATCACATAATTAATTTTATCTAAATATTTTCAGGGCAAAATACTTTGTATTCTATTAACTGTTAAATGAGATAGTATAAATAATTTTGGATATCGTACCGACGTGAGACGCAAGTAGGGCTTCTCTAGATCCTTGCACGTGCCGACGATGTGGAGCCCGGTAAAGTCGAAGTCCGTGTTCGGATCATCTCTGATGACGACACTGCTGACAACCGTCCTGGAAATGCCGCCGTTGAATCGGGCGGCGCGCTGCTGCAGCTTCTCCTTGGTGCCCAGCTCGTCCGTGTTGCCTGTAGCTAAACCAAATTCGGAATAGAAATGCGATTTAGCCTGCTTAGTCTTCTTGGACTTCTTGTTGCCGTGATTCGCCTTGCTGCGCGCGGACTTTTTCACTTTGAGGGCCTTGTAATCGTGCTCCCGATCGCTAATGTTCGACGACGAGGACGTGCTGCGCCTGCTGTACCTGCGCGACGGCGGACTACGTGTGCGCGAGCGCGTCGATTTCGACCTCGAACGAGACCGCGAACGCGACCGCGAACGGGACCGCGACCTCGACTTGGATCTTGATCTTGACCTCGATCTAGACCTTGACCTCGACCTCGTCCTCGACCGCCTGCTGTGTGTCACAGAGAGACGCGCGCCAAGCCGAGCCCCGAGGGAGCTGGAGAGGCCGGGCTTGCGCAGGCCTCCCTGTGCATTGACCAGTGGGCTCGCCAGAGGATTCGCCAGCTTTAACGCCGGCTTCGAAGGCTTGATCGTCATGGTCATACGTTCGCTGTGGATGCTGGGCAGAGGCTCCTTGTCCCAGTCCTTCACCCAGAGCGAGCCGTCATTCGCGGCGCGTGTGATCTTGCCCTTCAGTATGATTTCGACCTGATCCTTATCGACCGCCGTCTTACACTTCTCGTAGCAACGATTCACGTAATTCTTCAGACTGTCGGGCCAGTCGCCGACCGGACTGTGGCCGATGGAGGAAACAGCGCCAGCACTGGGAACCGCGTTGCTGGCAGCCGTGGTAACCGGCACGACAGGATTAGGAGGCTCCTCGCTCGGCGGCGGCGGGGCCACCACTTCGCTTTGCGCGGGTGGTAACGGCGGTAGTTCCGCAGGTTTTGCACTAGGTCCGTTAGGCATGAAGGGACCAGTCGGAGCGTTTCCCTGAAAGCTATTGTTGAATTGAGCTGCTAAATTTTTGTTCCGCTTACGTTTTTTCTTCGCGGCGCCGCTATTGCCGGACGGCGTGTATCCAAGACCCGTTTTCTTGTTTGGCATGTTGAAACGGATTGTATTTTGACCGTTGTACTCTGTAAAGAATTTATTAGCACTCATTTCAGAGCTGTACATTCAAACTGTAGAGATGGGCGAAGGATACCTGACGATAACAGTAAATACTAAATATTAACGCGTTATGATACATTATGTGCCAATATAAACAAGTTTTCAAAACAAAAGGACAAAGGAAGAATATTCTTGAATTCATTATTTTTGTTGGAATTTATATCCATATAGTCAAAAATATTTATATATCCATTTTTTCAAAGCATATTATTTTCGTTTTTTTTTTGTGAAAACTCATATAATCTTAAAATTATTATTTAAAAAAATAATATAAATTACTTGTACACATATTTAAAGCTGAAATAACATAATTTTACTAAAATCATTTAATAACGTGATTAATTTTTCTCTCGCTGCAACTGCAGCTTCTTCGTCCATCTCTATTTATCATAAGACAGATATGAGCAATATACTTACGAGAAGTATCATTATGCATTCCATTCCAGTTGCTATAAGGGAATGAATTGTACATCAATCCTGAATAAGCCATCGACTGTTGCTGCATGTGATTGTGTTGTTGAGTTTGTGGAATCGTTGGTGGTGGACCGGGTGGCAACGGTGGAAGATCAGATTCGTCATCCAGAGGCATCGGAGTACCAGGTATAGGAGGCTGTTGATGCAACTGCTGCTTCGTCTGATTGTTTCCCTGCTGCTGCTGTTGCTGTTGTTGCTGCTGCTGCTGCTGTTGCTGCTGCTGCTGCTGCTGTTGATGCTGTTGATGCTGTTGGTGTTGTTGATGCTGCTGCATCTGTTGAAGATTAAAATTCTGGCCATATCCTGGCATCATGGGATAATAGTTAAACGATCCTTGGTGCGGCACACCTTGATACCCTGGGTTGTACATTTGCCTGTAAAAAGAGATTGCAAAAGTTATCATACGCGTGAACGCAACTCCATTTTATAACAATTCCCACAATAGTAACGACAGAAAAATAATTTGATATTTTGTTATTATCTAACGTTTAAATTATCCCAAGTGACATTGCTCAAATATCATCACGACAAAAATGAAGGTTACAAAGCAATATCATAATACAGCAATAAATAAACAATATAATATTGTAATATAGCAAAATATTTGCGATATCAAAACCGAAATCTCAACTAAAATTAAAGCAAAATCTCCACCGATCGCGTTCGAACGAAGAATTAGGTCATCACAAACGTTCGAGTATAAGATGATTCATCTTAGCTCACGAGATTGCGCGTCTTTTCCGGAATCCGCCTCGTTTAATATCATTATTTATTCGTCGTTCGTGAACGAGTCATTTGTTCTCAAACGAGTAGGTAACTCATATTAACAAATCTCATGTCGTTAAAAGTCTCGTCTACAGAAAAAGGGAATCGAAGACGAGCTCGAATTTTATATACGACGCAATCCCCAAGCTCGCTCATGTGAATCATCCTGTACGTGTATGTATACACGGACAGGATGCAGGCGTTAATAGGCCTCTCTCGCGCGTCTCACGCTCGTCGCGGGAGCAAGCAGCCTCAACGAGGTCCAGGTCCGGAATTAAAGTCGAGATCGTAATATTCATATATATATCGCGCATTTATATATCGCGCGACGTCGCAATCGTGACAACGGAGCGAGGAGCTGGCGGAGTCCGCGACTCCGATTTCGAGAGACCGTCGCGAAATGGCCGACGGTACTCCCCCATTATGTGTCCCCGTTGACACACGCCACCACGGTCGGTGGCCGCGATCCCGACGACGCCGCGAGGTACTCACCCTGGGTACGGTGGGAACATGTTGTGCATATTGTTCGGCGTGTACTGCCACGCCATATTCGCCATCGGGCCCGCTCCGATCGGCTGCTGCTGTTGCTGCGGATGGAACGGCGACTGCTGCTGGTGCTGCTTCTTCTGCGACAACGCGACCTCGCCTTCTGACATACCGTGGAATAAAAAATATCAGAGACCGCAACCGGAGATGGCCGCCTCCTCCTCCCCCTCCCTACTCGTGGCCGCGGGTCTCTGCGATCGCTTCGCGTCGTCGAGTCGAGTTACCGCGGGGCGGTGCGAGCACGCGCCAAGAGAGCGGAAAGAAAGAAGGGAAAGGAGAAACCAATGGGGGAATTCACTTGAGAGAAATTCCCGTATCTTTCTCCCTCGTCTCCGTTTTTACTCCCGCTTTTACTCGAGATCGCTCGGAACTGCTTCTAAGTTCTACCGTGCGCACAACGGCGCGCGACACGACGCTCGCGGGACGCGGACGGGAGATCGCGGTGAACGCGGAGCACACGATGGAGAGCGAATGGCCGGAACGAACAGGTTGGAACGGGACGGAAACGGAATTCGGGTTGACAGCGGAGCCAGAGTCTCTCTGGCGGAGCGATCTGCGCGCCATCTGCACTCGTACTTTCGAACCATTTCAAACGATGACAAGTGGAATCAAGAGATAATAGGTAATACCATGATAATTGAATTTGAATGACATCCGAATCTATATCGCCAACTCGGAGGATTTAGGCTTCAAAAATTATTATTAAATTATTATTATTATTAAAAAGATTCTAGATTCGTCGACGATAATCAATCGACTATTATATCGATAATTTGTTATATAGAAATTATAAGACCCGTTCTTTTCAGTCCAAAATGTTGGAGACCAAAAGAAGAGCGATATGAACCGTGAAATATATTTAATTATTATTAAATTATTATTATTAAAAAGATTCTAGATTCGCCGATGATAATCAATCGATTATTATATCGATAATTTGTTATATAGAAATTACAAGACCTGTTCTTTTCAGTCTGGACTTCTTCATCTTTTCTCTTTTTTTTTTCTCCAAAACGTTGGAGACAAAAAGAAGAGCGATATGAAACGTGAAATATATTTAATTATTATTAAATTATTATTATTAAAAAGATTCCAGATTCGCCGACGATAATCAATCGATTATTATATCGATAATTTGTTATATAGAAATTACAAGACCTGTTCTTTTCAGTCTGGACTTCTTCATCTTTTCTCTTTTTTTTTCTCCAAAACGTTGGAGACAAAAAGAAGAGCGATATAAACCGTGAAATATATTTAATTATTATTGTTGCAAACCGCGCAGGAATTCGTATTTTTTGAAAATACTGCCATGTGAAAAACAGGAAGCTCGCCTCGCATTCTTTGTTTGCACAAATAGGTAGAACCGTCGCTGGCGGCTACCCTATAAAAGGGGGGCCGCGCTGAGGTGACTTTCACGCTTCAGTAAAAATTCAAAGACAAAAGGATCGCGTAATATATTTCAGTCGCTCTATAAGTTGCAAGACACGCGCGAAAATCTTGTAAATTTCTTGTTAAAACTGTTATGACTTATATTACTTGTGTACGTAAAATAAAATTGAGTTTAACTCCACCTTGCTGTAAATATATTTCTTGAACAAAAAAAATAAAGGGGCAACAGCCGCCTGTTAAACCATCAAAACTCCCAAGGCAACGCGCGCTCGTGAACAATTATTAAATTAATATTATTAAAAAGATTCTAGATTCGCCGACGATAATCAATCGATCGTTATATTAATAATTTGTTATATAGAAATTATAAGACCTTCTTTTCAGTCTGGACTTCTTCCGTTCATCTTTTCTATTTTTCTTTTCTTCAAAACGTTGAAGACAAAAAGAAGAGCGAATGAACCGTGAAATATATTTAATTATTATTAAATTATTATTATTAAAAAAATTCTAGATTCGCCGATGATAATTAATCGATCGTTATATTAATAATTTGTTATATAGAAATTATAAGACCTGTTCTTTTCAGTCTGGACTTCTTCCGTTCATCTTTTCTATTTTTTTTTTTCTTCAAAACGTTGGAGACAAAAAGAAGAGCGATATGAAACGTGAAATATATTTAATTATTATTAAATTATTATTATTAAAAAGATTCTAGATTCGCCGACGATAATCCATCGATTGTTATATTAATAATTTATTATATAGAAATTATAAGACATGTTCTTTTCAGTCTGGACTTCTTTCCGTTCATCTTTTCTCCTTTTTTTCTCTCCAACATTTGAGAGAAAAAGAAGAGCGATATGAACCGTGAAATATGTTTAAATTATAATAATGCAATGTATAAAAGGTGGATTACGAGAAGCGGTAGGTATATATAATTAAGAACGCGACAGATCTGTAACTTCTAACAATGATATATTTTGGAACATATTGTCAATGGGGGATATAGACATTATAACAGATAAACTATATTTCGAAATGTAAGCCGGCGCCGTGTGGGTTCGCTCTTCCATCCGGTGTAAAGCACGCGTGAGGGCGAAGAAGGAAGATTAATACATATCTGCAACGAACGAGTCCGAATGCGAAAAACGCAACGACCGGGGACTCGGAATCGCGAACGCGCTCGCCGAAAGAAATTGGTTTAATATTCAGCGAGTTTGTAGGCAAAGTACGTCGCGTATACAGCTATTATTTTTTATTTTTTGTATATAATTTATGGAACGAGCTGAATTCTCCGGAGAATCGTACACAGACGAGAAGTTTCGAGAAAAAAAAAGTTACCGCTAAACGGATACAGAAAAAAAAGATCCATAAATTAACAGCGTTCGCAAAAAATTTACTCTTATGCGATCTAATTCAAGTGAAAGAAATGTCGATTTAATAAATATAAGGGAATTTTAATTCGATTCGTGATGTTAACAGAGTATACAATATATTATATTAGGGGGATTCAATGATCCACTAGTTTTAGAACAACCTGTAGTATTTCGATAATAAATGACTATAATCTAGACCTGATCGCGCCACAGATCTCTTCCAGCTTCATTCCATTCTTGCTTAATTAATTTACTTATGTAGAGTAATTGTGCAGTTCTTGATAAATTCTCTCAACTTTAAGCGCAGAGAATGCACGATGAGTGCATTAATAAATTATTAAGAACAGGAAAAGTTAATTGGCATTGATTAAATTTTAAAAAGTTAAAGCTTTCATTTGATTTTAAGAATCAAAGAATGCGTTGATAGGAATTTAAGTGTGAAACTTTAAATTTGACAGAGAATTCGATAGAGATGCTTCGAAATATAAAAGTTTGTAGCACACCATAATAAGTTTCGAGTCATATAAAGCGCTTAAATCGTCAGCATCGCTCTGTGCTTAAATTCAAGATCGGATATCGCTTAATTCTTATTATATTACTACGATATATTAATATATCGATCATGAAAAAAAGACGTTCACAGAGAGAGATGTATAGGCAAAGTACCCTTTTACACGATAAACTTTCGTAACGACGACGGTAACAAATTCAAACGGTAGTTCTTTTCGAACGCATTAGGTCCTCGCGGATCGTGAGACGGAGCGATAACGTACATATGCTTTGACCGTAGGTTAATCGCGTAAAAGACGTCGTGACGCTTTTTTTTTTGTAGACTAGAAAAGTACGATGCAATCGGCGCTAAACACACTGCGATACAACAGAAGCGCGGATCTCTTTTACATTTTCTCTATGTTACTTTGTAGGCACTTTCTACGAGTAACCGGGGCCCCCTCTCGAAACACGCGATGGAAATCGAAACGTGATCTCTCCGCATTGACATTAAAATTAGCTTCACATCGTCTTCATATCGAGGCAACGTACATGCGACCGTCCGTCTTACATTCAAGAAACTGAAGGATTAGGCAAACGTTTGGAAAACGTGCGATATTCCCGCAACTGCTATCGAGAATGATACTCTTTTTCCTGACTTTATAATTATACTGTATGCAGTTCTCTTATATATTTGTATATATATTTATTTATATATAGCCTACTCTTTTTATTATTTCTCTCTAGTTGTTCGTTCATTATAGATTTATTGCTTTAAATATAATTGCGAACCAATGTAAGATAGTCACATAATATACAGTGTTAAGTCTATGTTAGCTATAGCTAGTGATTGGAAAGAGATAATTGATATTACTTTTAAAGACACTATTAGACACTGTCGAGCAGTCGGAAACATGTGACATTCACATATCCATTACGTATCAAATAAGCTTTCCGCGCATACGGCATTCTCTCACAGTCAGAGTTATATCCATATAGAATGAATTTTCGCGAATCGTACGATTTGAATTAGAACGTAACTCTGTTGCGTCTGGTACAGGGAAGTACAGGGCTGACAGTTCACGAATTAATGTGTCTCAGTAAACTGCAGCTCGAGATGATGGTACCCATAACGCTTAATTTGTAGAACTTATTGCCCCCATCGATAATACTGCGTCGATTAAACAAACGTATTTCAATATCCGACGTTTACGCTTGAGTGAGCCGTCTAATTGCAGAGTACAGTTTTATTGCTTACAAAGCAATTATTACTTTGACGCTTTTGTCGGATGGACGAATCGATATATTGGTACTTTTCAATTCAATGTGTTATTATACCCTTTTAAAGCATCTCTTTAAGATCGCAAATTAGAAACGTCTCTATTGAAACGCAACGACTCTTTGTTTCCTTTCTTTTTTTATAAATACTCTAAATATAGTGTAATACGATTCTTTTCTCATTGAACGAGAAACGGAAAGTTGATGCCTCCTTTAATTTAGCTACTTCTTGTTCATGGTTTTTAAGGCACCTCATATATGTATGGTACGCAATGCAATGTAGACACGTATACAAACAATTTTTTATACAACTAAGAAAATTACTCGCCATTATTGTAACTTAAAAATCATGAACCCACGCGTTGTGTTGATTCCTATAATGTATAAATTCTAATCATCTCAAGATTTCAGACATACGATATTATAATGAAAGCGCAACCGAGAGTTATCTGCGAAACGCAGCATTACTGGAATATAATTAAAATGCATCCGTAAAAGTAGATTACATATATATAGCCACGTGTGCTTGAGACATTACGTGTCATTTAAAAACAATTCAAAAAGGAATAAATACGTGTAGCAAAAAAGCAAATAACGTAATCGCATATCGTAGTCGGGCAATCATTCATAAATGCATACTGCCGCTCCTAAAAACTCGCGAGAATTCTTATCTAGATGCGTACAATACGATAATAGCCGTTAGATTCATATATATAATATATATATATATATATATTTATATTTATATATTTATATATACTAGTGAAATTGGCTTTTGGTAGGATGAGTAGAGCATGTATAGTACCTCTTGGTGATTTTTTTTTTTATATGTAAACGATAAAAATACCTTTTTGGATATATTGACTAGTTTCTGTTTCGCTTCCTGTTCCTCATTCTTCTCTGGCTCCTCCTGGCAATTTTTCAGCGCGCACGCTCGGTCCAATCCGGAACAACGATAACAGAACATCACAAAAGTGATTCACTTGGTGATTCGTCGGCGTTTTTTCTGTTACATCTATATTACATCTCTTTACGGAGTGGTCGACGTTAAGAACGTAGGGTCCACCGCGGCTACCTTCGCGGTGAGAAACGCATGCATGCAGAACAACAAGTTTTGCAACTGGGAACACTCCAATTCCTGTCGAAACGTACGCAAAATGTAAATACATATCGCTCTATGCGTGTAGGAAAAACACAAGTTGAAGGATTGAATGCAGCACTGATCGTTAATCCATCCATTCTTTTCCAAGAATTTGAGAGAGCGTATATCTCTCAATCGAAATCTTGTCTCGAGAGAAAAATTTGGACCACTGTGCTGCAATCAAATCTTTCCTTTTCACCAAAGAATATACGTGTTTACCTTCGTTTCGATGGCGATGCTGTCCGGCTCTTGGAAGTGCAATTTAAGCCTACTTTTACCGTCGTCGCTGGACCCTCTCAATTGCGAAAATTTGTAACGCCACGCGATCTCGCTTCCTTCGTACGACAACGTGAAGCCTTGCGTCCACTCTAACGTTAGACCCGCGCTCCTGCTGTTGAAAGTTACCGGGAAGGTTTTACTCTGCAACGAGAGGAAAGAAAGGCGTGAGAGGAGAGAAAACTCAACGGACGTCGAAAAAATGCTTCGCAAAAATTATCACGCGCGCCACGACGGACCTTCAGATGCGTAACGGCCGAACATATGGCGGTGTGCCACGCCGCCTCGACCCGCAGGAGTTCCTGCCTGGTTTCGACGCTCAGGTAGCGCGGCGGTTTCCCCGGACTCTGCGCCAAGAAGCAATGCTGCCGCTCGTCGACATTCTCCGACTCGCGCATCACGCGGAACATGGTCTGGTACACCTTGAAAGTCAACGCGCAGCGTGACCAATCGCCTATGTTACACTGGAATAATAAAAAAAACCGATTAAACTAAATAATCCTCGTAATACTAAATAAATCGACGACCTTGAAAGTTCAAAGTAAATAAAATACTGCGCACGAATTGACACGTACAGGGGGTGTCTCAAACAACAATAGGTCCGGTCCTTTTAGAGCCAAGAATCTCGGTCTGTAACTCTGCCACGGCTGATTACTGTTGCTCACGGCCTCGTTCACCCAGCCCATGTATTCTATGCGCTCGCCGACTCCGAAATTACGATTGTACAACTTCATCTGGAATTGAATTCATCGTCGAATAGTTAATTATTGAAGCAACAACTGGAGGAATCGTCAACGCAGAAAGACACGACAATATTACTGTCATGTTATTTATATCACCTGCAAATGCGTCAATCCTGTAATGTTGTCAGTTATATATTTTAACCATTGACTGAGAATAGCGCTATCGTCGCAATGTATCACTCCTGTACGTGCCCCGTTAAGTCCTCTCACTTCGAACGCGTTCCTCCTTAGTTTGTCGGTGCCAAATATGTACCTCGTCACGTACGCCATCATTAACGGGACTGAAAAGTGTCACATTAATTATTATGCACCACACAGGTGCCCCCATTTTCATATCCCGCCTCTTGTGGCTGCTTCATATTTTTACAATTCATATTCTTACATTCTTAGTCTTAACATTGATATGTTATGCAGCAATCTTTTTTTTTTACATTTAAAATATTGTATACAAAACCCAAGTTTTTACACATCATGCTAAATATGGGATATAAAAATACATACGAGGGATTTAATTTATTCAATATTTAAGTCCGCCACGTAGTCCTACCTGTGATTACGTCGACCCATCTTTTATACTGCATCGAACTGGAAGATGCATTGGAACTCTGACGGCTGTGGCTACATCTGGGACTACCCGCTTGCCTATTAGGCGATATCCATCCGTCTTCCGCCGTACCATTGGCAACGTTATCCAGCTTTTCTTCCTTCTCTGTTGATAAGCGTTAGAATATCAATACACAGGACGCACACACTCCCATTGTTATCTGTTTTATTGCGATAATATATAATATATAGTGCGGTATACCGTTCTTCTGTAGAAATGGCTTGGCCGCTCGATAGTGCTTGACCGTTAGAACCACTATATCACCGGCATTCCTCAAAATATTGACAGCGTCGTCATGGTTGCACGCCGTGATATACTCGCCATTCACTGAAGAATCGTACAACAACGAATTACGTAACAAAATAAAGTCTTAAACATTATCGTACAAACAAAGAATCGTACGCGGTATATAGATTCCTGATTGTTTCGAATACTACGTGGAATAAAATCGAAGTTCAACTTCCGTTTCAATAAGAACATTGGGCATTGGTAGACGCAGGAGTTGAAATCGATACTCATTAACTGTGCATACATGGTGGCTGCTCGACTATCGCGAAACTGTCAAGTGTCGCGTAACTGCAATCGGTGCAAATAATAAGGAGCAAGTATTAATGAGCGACTGCAAATTTATTACAGATTTGAAAATAATTTAATTAGAATTAAATATAAAAAAATCAAACTAAATGTACGACAACAATTAAAAATTTTACGTTTTACTCATTAAATATTTTACCATTATCTGAATAAAAAAAATAATTCTTGAGACAAAAATACACAGACTCGGCAGAGTACAAATGTGACACATAAAGTAATATATAGAACGTAAAAAAAAAAGATTTATCTTGCATTATTTGGAGATAACGACTAATGCAAAAATATCGTTGGGAGGATCAGTAGTCGATAGCTTGCATAAGTTTGATAATAACTTGTATATTGGCGTGAAAATCATCTGTCGATAGTACCTTTAATAATTGCGTCTCCTACGAAAAGCTGGCCGCACTGATCGGCGGCCTGACCCTTATAGATTCTCGATATGAGTACTGGAAGCTTATGTTCCGCTCCGCCCTTTATGCTCAGCCCCAAACCACCGACCTTCTGCCTGGTGATTTGCACCATGCGCTCCTTAGCGTCCAGAGGTGGCTTATTGTGATTCGCTGCCTGCTAAAATGTATTCTTGTCTTTGACACGTTTCGCAAGCGCCCCGTGATCGATAAGGTATACCGTGTCCCCCCCGCGGCGGGAGAGAGGGAGGGACGATTGAACATCATTCATTCGGGAAATAGTTGATAATACGATTATCGAAAGGCACTCTACCTCGAGATCCTCCCGTTGAAGCTTCAATACCTCCATAGACAAGTGCAAACGCATCGGCACGGGTTTGCTCTTCCCGTCGCTGACCGTCACCATCCCCGTCCGCACCTATCGATAATAAAATCAAATTGACAAAAGCCATCCGCCGTATAAAATTGCCACTTTATCGCCCGAAATGTTTGAGACAAAAATATGCGCCTATATTTAAAAAAATATATCGAAAATATGAAGTGACTTTATCGAATTGTGTGGCCAAGCATTAACTTAACTGCTCGTCCTTTAACAAACTAATTTGTCAAGTTTATCACAATTTGTTAAAGGTTTTGTCAATCCACAGTTGCAGTCGTCGTGACTTTTATATACATATCTAAAAATAATATAATAACTACAATGGCTATTATACCATCCTCCATATTTTATCTTGATACAATGCAAAAAGCAGTTTGCATTTGCAGCAGGAAATTGAAGTAGAGAAAAGGAAGACCCCGCGGGATTGCTAAGAGAGGGGAATAAAAGTTATTCTAGAGTTCTCGGAAAGAAGCGGTGCACTCGGTGCGGAAGTAGCACGAAGATTAAAGGGAGAGAGAAAGAGAATGAGACGCTGTGCCGTTACACTGATAACGACAAATTAATGAGCTCCGGCAATATTGATTGATTGAAACCGTGCAAAGTCATTGTACGCCCGCGAGCATGCATTTATGTATGAGAAAGTATCTCGAGATAAATTCTTAATTGAATACCCCGCATTCTCACTGGGACAACGCGATCGGCCCTAATTATTTCCAAATAGCATTATCGTTATTATGTTATTTCCCGTTCGTCGCCCGGCGGAACCGACACCGATTCATCTCTCCCGCCCGCCCCCGCACGCCAATATACAGTTATAACTCGCAAGACCGCAATAGATCGATTTAAATTAATTCATACTTGTCAATTTGTCATGCGGCTCGAGAGTAACCGCGCCCGTCCGTCGCGCGATTTGCAAATATCCACCCCCAGGAACATCATGTTCCCGCCGCGCGTAAAAACGACGGCGACTCTCGCGTTCTACTGCCTTTGTTCAATTAATCGATTTTTCCGTTTTTCTCAATACGCGAAGAACACGAAGGCTCCTCTAAATTATTCGCCGATGGCGAATCCAATTCCGAGTCGTGTATTCCTTTTCCCCGACGATGACAACTATAAGTGATGCGGAAAAGGAAAAATTGCTAAATGATTAAGGAAGCTGCCCGTTCGCGGGCGCATTCGTAACTTAACAGGATTTCAACGAGTCATTCCTCATTTATGGGCCGCTTGATCAATCCGAGAGAGTCGAATTCCCACCGCGAGAGAGAACGCGGAGAAGATGTGCCTTCCATCGTGAAAATTGCTAATTTTTTTTTGTTTGTTTTTTTTTTCCCCTTTGCAGGCAGAATAATTTTTATGCATTAATTGGCGGTGCATTTTTTAGATAAAAATTGGAATGCAACGAAAACGGGGGGTACAAAATATAATATACGCGCCGGCCGAATTCATTTCACGGGGATTTAATATGCCATGCATATATGAAAAACCGATTTCGCAGGGGGAGGTATCCTGCGAAAGGAGCAAACTAAATCCACGCTTTCGCGTTACGGCGAGCGGATCGATTTCACGCTTGTGTCAAAGAAAATTGCACTGGATTGACCCTCCCCCCACCCTCCTTCACACCCCCTCCCGCCCTCCTCTTGAATAGTCCCGAAGGGACGCTAAATTTGTCGATTCGGCATGGCGTATGTATATTAAAGTGACAATCGGAAACGTAGCCGATAAACGAGGGAGAGAAAGAGATTTTCGGGTCGTTATGTGTAAATCGGCAAAACGGGACACGGCCGATCTATTTTAACACAATTAACAATAAACGCCGTATTTTTAGTGCAAGCCGGCTCGCGCGGCGCGTTATTCGCCATTTATTATCGTTAACAATTCGTCCGTTTCAATTAATCCGACGCTAATTAATTATTATCGGAACGCTGAAGCGCGTCGCGGCGCCATCGATACGTTATACGTGTATAAAAACAAAAACGGTGACGTTTCGCCAAATAGAAATAAATTTTCGCGGAACTCGCGAAATGTATTCTAATATTAACTCTAACAGAAACTCTATATATATATATTTATTATATACAATTATATATCTCGCATTTTTAGAAGCAAAGCTTCGCAAGTTTCACAGATACTCATGTACGCGTTTTATTTTAAGCTCACATTTTACATAACGACCGAATACCGTCGATGCATTTTTTAATTTTATCGCAATGTTCTATCGTCGCGAATTGTATGCGCCCGCTCGTATAATTGCGCGCGTTAATTTTGCATTCTGCGCAAAAATTAATGACGCGAGGGAAAGTTCGGTCGCGATATCTCGACAGAAGCCGCGCGTGTTTTCCGTTCTGTATTCATTTTTCTGGAAATTCACATTACGCCGCGTGTTATCGCGGGCGTTGCATTTCTCTCGTTACGGCACGGGTAATAATCAATCATCGAAAGTGCGCAACGCGAAAATGATCGACAGCTCGTGCCATTCGTGTCCCTGCTACCCCCCCCCATCCTCAATCTCTCTCTCTCTCTCTCTCTCTCTCTCTTTTATTATTTCACATCGGGGCGAACACAAAAAACACTCGTTACAGGATGAGAACTTTGTTTGTGACAACGTAACAAACTATTGCTCGCTCTCGCATAAAACCATCCGCGGATGACAAAATCGCCGTGTTTCGCCGAGGAGAGATAAAAGCAAAACTCTCCGCGGAGACCGTATCGCTGAACGCGCGTGCCAATTTATAATCCAGAAGTATATATATGTACGATACACACGACATTACTCGTTATTAACGCAAAAGCGATTAAACGCAGCTCGTATACCGCCGGCGGCAACCGGAGGTAGGGATATCGATCTCTTCCGCGGAGTTTGTGTCGGACGGCAGACGCCGAACTGCCAATTTGGGGTATGCGGGGAACGTTTATCAGGGCGGGCGATAAGGCTCGCTTTCTGCGAAGACATCAATTAAGCGCTATATTCGGCGCTTTCCAGACCATAAAACCGCCGGCGTGTAGAATCCGGCGGTATTAAACCGCTCCGGCGAGCCAATTTCGACGCACGGGGGGGGGGGCCCGCACGTCCGTTCCCGGGCGTTCGTTAAAGTTAAAGCAAAGCCGAGAGTCTCCCGGTTCTCTCTTTTTCTTTCTCTCTCTTTCCCCAGTTATATACCGGTTGGAAAGAGCGACGGGATAGAGTCGCGCTTAAACCTCATTGTCAGTTATCTTTAACCGACGTTTATGGGAACGGCTCGCGGCTGGATCGATTCCACCCGATATCGGTCAGCGTCGATCCTATAGTCCATCGCTATATACGTCTATGTCGTGCAGCCTGCTACAATTTAGAAGGATATTGGCGGGGGGGAGGGAGGGAAGGGCACGATTGATTCCGCGGAAGAGACCGGGGAAGCGAGAAACGCGGCGGCGGAACGGAGCTCCTCCCTCGCTATTTTCCGCCGATCGCGGAACGGCCGGATTAACGACGTTAATGTCGTGCGATCGGAAAACATTTCGTGCACCTGTAGCGCCCGGGAATTTCAGTCGGGACGACGTCGGAACGGACGGGTGCGCGCGACCGGGTCAATCGACGGCGACGAGTACTCTGAATCCAGAAAATTTCCAAGTCCATAGCTGTAACTCTCTCTCTCTCTCTCTTTCTCTCTCGGCTATGCATGCCCGCGTGTCCTCTTATCCGATTTAACTTCTAAAAACACGAATTAAATGTTAAAATCCATTCATCCGTCTGCATCTCGAGTTACGAGAGACGCGTCCTGTTATTTTTTGTGTGCATATACAGAGTGAGATAACATGCGGTTATGGTATAATGAAGAATTTGCTTTTTTTTAAAAGTTAATCTGTGTTACGTGGGTGTCTCCTTGCTTTTATTTTGCAGAACGTGCGAATTAAGAGCCGGCCTCTCTCTCTCTCTCTCTCTCTCTCTCTCTCTCTCTCTCTCTCTCTCTCAACGAGAGAGAGAGAGAGTTCAAATTATCTCCGCGCGAACGATAGACGGGGGTCTAAATACGTCCACCTAATTACGGGAGATTCCGATGGTATTGCCTCATCAGTATGTACGCGTGTCCGGCGTATACCGGGGAGAAAACGCCAGGCGGTAATGAGACGGTCGCGAATTACGTGCCAACGCGACCCGACTAAATTGCACCATGGTCGTCACGGTACACACCGCTCTTTTGACCTTTCATCCGCTTTTATCGTATATATATATGCAAAAACACCGAGGGCCCGGATACGCTCGCGATATCGCATCCAGCGGTAAATGTCGCCGTGACTGCGATGTACGTACATTAACGTTGAATGAAAACGTGGGAAAATGAAACCGAAAACGCGAAGCGGAAGCGAAGAGACAGAGAGAAAGAGAGAGAGAGAGAGAGACGGAATAACGTTAACACTTCCGCAACTAGTGCAAATTCCAATTAGAATTCACGAACGCGTAGCATGAAAATAGGAAGACTTAATAATTATTAAAAATTAACAGTCATATCGTATCAAAGGAATACGTAGAAATCAATGTTGACGAAGTAACAACGTCCAGAGATGTGTCTTAATCGAGGGTGAAAATATATAGAAATTAGACGGGGATACGACGACTTTCGGGTCTCCTCCTGATGATGTAAGCGCTGTATCGATCGACGGATCTTAAGCTCCGATCCTCCGGGATATAGTTGTCAAGTTAATTCCGAGGCAGCTTCGAATCATCTCGCCTACGAGACACGAGGTGTTCGATACGCCGAATACACAAGGGGGACGTCCAGGAATATCCGGCGCACATCTGCGCCGTATAGCGAGCGGCGGCGCTTTTCCCTCAAGGCGCTTCCCCGACCGGGATTATACACGCGTGCTGCATCCTAAGCATGCGGCTAAGTGCGAGTATGAGTGCGGATGCATTATTGATCACCGAAGATCGGCGGACAACGAGAGAGAAAGAGAGAGAGAGAGAGACAGAGCAAGAGAGAATGTAAGACAGGGAACGGATAGAAAGACAGAGATCGAAAATATCGCAAATAACTTAGTTAGCTCCTCTGATCGTCAATGAGACTCGTACCTTCAGCTTCTGGTCAATCTTCTCCTCGATCGGAGTGCTCATCTTCGTCGCGTTGATTCTCATTATTCTCGCGCGCGATCAGTTGTAGGTGACGGCACCCTATTCTCGAGGATTCCTTCTGCTGCTGCTGTTAGCCTCGGCGACGAGCCTCGCGGCGATCACCGCTGACGACATCAGGTGGGCACCGCACCGACTTGCCGCGCGACTTCCCAGACAGGCGAGAGTCAGTCCTGACGACGGCGACGGCGACGACCCTTCATGGTCTATACACGCTCTCTTCCTGCACGAGAAACAAATTGCACGGAATTAGACACTTCTCCGTGGCGAGGAGGGTCACCCGAGAGCCGGGCGGTCAGCGGGGGGATTGATTTACCGGCGCGCATTCAATCTCCGCGACCGCGACAATCGTCCCCGCGGGGGGTTTTTTTCCCTAGCTGGTATTCCCTCGCGCGTCGTGCCCGCGATTAATGCGATCGACTGCTCGAGATTAAAGCGGTCGTCTCCCCGCGGGAGTTCGCGACGCCGCGGCGTACGTCCTGCTCGCGTGAAAAATCGCGAAATCTTTCACGGACTTACGCACGAGTGTCGACGACTCCCCCTGATCAACTGATTTGGGAATTCAAATTCGCTGCGGACGCGCGAGAACGATCCCCGAAGAAATGTATCGAGTTTTCTTAAGCTATACCGCTTTTCGTGCTCTCCTCCACCGTCGCCCTTCCTCGAGGCAACCCCTGTTCGTGCCGGTGCCTCCGGTCAGGGTCGTTTCTCGCGTGTCCTACTGAACTCACCGGAATCGGGGGAACGCCACCGGGTTTCGCTCTCTCGACTGGACTCCAGGCAAGCGGCGAGCAACTCGTCAATCCGCCGACGACGACGACGACGGCGCGAGCGGAGTCAACTGGTCCCCGGTGGCAACGCGAGACAAGTAACGAGAGACCGTCGAGGCCCTTCCGAGTCTTCACTCTTCCGACGTCTCGCAGTCTCCTACCTGAGCGATCGGCGGTCGGCTGACAAAGGGGGAGACCCCCCTCTTGCTTGACAGGCGAGGCGAGCGTGCGACCCTGGAAGACGAGACACACGACACGACGCGACGCGGCGAGACGGGACGCCTCCGCGGAGAGGAGACGCGCGACGAGCTCACCGCGAGCGGGAGCGGGTGCCAGACACCAGCCAGGCACGTACGGGTATGTACGTGCGAGTGCCGTGCCGTACCGACCGGCGCACACAAGTATCGCGCGGACTGGCTGACTGCTGCCGCTGCTGGCCCGAAGAAAGTCCGCGCGGCGCGCATCGATTTACGCTGGACACCGCGCATAAGCGGCGCTCTCTCGCTCAGGCGCGGATCACGCGAGGGATCACGTCGTTGATTCCCCCCTCCCCCTTCCCCGCCTCTTTCGCCGTCGTCTCGCGCCGACCAATTCCTACCCTCCCGCCGCGCGCCCCCTGGTCAACCCTCCGGCGCGGATCCGGCGACCGCGCGCGCAGAAAGGATATTTCGGGACAATTAAATTTCGCGAGATAACTTGATTTTTAATCGCGAACGTCGTTCTATTACGTGTCCCTCTATCGAATGTTCCGGCTGGCGCGCCTCCTGGGGCGCGTGAATCGCCCCCCCGCGCCGATTTTCAGGACAGAAATTGGATTTGCGAAAGGCGACGTAGGTACTTCGATCAAACTCCGGCTAACTTGATCGAAGATTAATTTAGCGAGCAATACCCATGTATCATCTCCGTTAACAGAATTGTTAGAATGTTCGTTTAGCGTAGGAAGAGTATGGAGTCAGGAACGACAAGTTATACAGTTAGAAATTTCTTGCTTTAAGCGATTCTGCGCCGGTTGAATCGATCGATCGCGAATTAAGTTGATCAGAGTAACTAATCGATCCGAGTCACATTTTGCGAAATGGAAAAAGGAGGTAAAGATTATTAAATAATCCGATCTTTAATTTAAGCTCTCAAATCTAGTTTCGGATTAAATCCAGTCAGATGGCTGTGTAGCACTTCAAGATTGACTCGATTTATAATATATAAGTATATACGTAATTTTAGATATAAAACTAGACTATACGAATACCATCCTGATTCTACGAGTGCTCGTGATAGAACCGGGTCGGGCTTTCGTCGAGCTGGCCCTGAACGAAACCCCAGCAGCATGTAGTGGCGGGAATTTCAAAGATACATGGATAGCGGTCCTACAAGTCCAGCATCACAGGGAGAAAATTAACCGGGCAAAACAAAAGCTTTTTGCCTGCATAATCAGCTCAACGTGTTTATCAATTATTCCCAGCACGTAATTTTGGTCAGTCAGGATTCTCTCAAACGATCATCTCGGCAATCAATAATGCCCTAAGCTAGACTTATAGGTCACTCTGCATAATAGAAAACGATAGAGCGCTGTAACCGATACCAAAATTATATTGTCCTCAGCATTAATTTGACATTTTGTTTTGTATACAACGTGAACGGTTCAACAGATATAAATGTCACTCGATACATATGTTCTACTTGGTGTAAATTGACTTATTAAATGATACTACCATTAATAACGTGATGTACGACCTATTATACCTCATCGATTGAATTGTATCCGTGTCTCAAAACCTCCATATATATTTCGAAATAAAAGTATCGTCGCTATACATATGATACAAAATTAATGCCGTATAAAAAAATAGCGTTGTATTTAAATAATGAGCTATATGTATGTACATTTACACGTATTTCTCTTTGCTTCCCTTTCGCAAGCACTGTTTTATGAGGGAGAAGTCCCCGACGTATTTTTACATTACACAGTAATATCACATTATGTGAATAGTTTTATAATTAATATATCTTCCTCTCGTTTGTGTGACACCATATTATATTCACACACTGTTTATAAATCATGATTTTCGTTATAATTGTTTTTATAAATCACTTATAATCTTGAAAGCATGCTTTTAGATATTCTGAAATTTAAAGAATTTCCAAAGAGCATACCAGCGTAATTTGATTATATAAAATTTGTGGAATAAACGTAGACAATTAAAAATCATCTGAAAGCACTTTGCACCCATGACTAACTGTCTAAATTTATTCATTTAATACTTTCCTCTGCCTCATTAATCACACAGAAGGATTTGAAGGATTTATACGTTTATGTACAAAACTTTCAAATATGTATGTCCATAAAGGCAGAGTATCAAATTATCAAAGATAAAAATATTAATTACCCCTATCTATATCTGTAAATTGTAAAATTTTTCTGTAAACAAAGAGAAAACTTGATGTATTCTTTAAAATTTATGCTGCGTCATCCTTGTTCGTTAAAAAAAAAGGAACAAGTCAGTCAGCTGATATCTCCAAAAATAGTCATTAAAAAGCTACACAGAGTTTGCACATGCATATGTCAAACAGTGGACCTTCTTGTGTTATTCCTGCATATTCTACATATTTACAGCAGGAAGAATGTGCGACTGCAACACACACGGGCACACGTATCCACATTTCTTTAAAAAAAAAAAATTTCCTATTATCATCTAGAAATTCTAGAGTCAGATACCTAATGTACATCCAGTCGTGAAATTTGTCCCCTATAAACAAATCCGAATAAAAATACATCTTTTTTTCCCCCCTACTAAACCGAACCTAGAAAATGATCTTCTTCAAGAAATCGTACGACGCATTAATCACACCCCAACTAATGAAGGACCTCATGTAGTTCAAATGCACGCCCTTGTAAAAGGAAGTTATGCTTCGGTCCCTGGAGATGTACACCTCGCGTGTCACAGCCAGGAATTTCTCAAAGTCGCCGCCTATCTTCATCTGCATGTGTATCTTGATCACGTTCATCGGGTAGAACACGGTGCTGGTGAAGCCGCCGATCAGGGCGCCGCTGACGAAGTTCGTCAGCAGCGACTCCTTCTCGCCCAGCAGCACCTTCGACCGGTCCCGCAGCGTGAAGAACATGAGATTGGACAGACCGTTTCTGTATATGATAGGAACCATACCGCGGTAGCACTCGGTCACTCCGTGATTCGTCAACAGGTACCTGAACGCGTGGGGGGTGTTCTTGAACTTGTCGTGATACCGCCAGTCCTGCAGCAGCGTCTGCACCCTCTCGAGCGGCATGAGGAGAGCCTCCATCGTGCCGGCTATGTTCGCCGCCAGTATCTTGGCCAGCACGTCGTTCCCGGACAGCAGGCAGATCCTCCGCTTGCAGCCCTCGTACATGCTGAACATCAGACTGAGGGACAGGGTCTTTTGGCATAGAGGCGGCAAAATTCCACGATACAGCAGCCGTATCCCCTCTCGCGATAGCTGCCCGACCGCGGCGCCCACAGGCACTCCCTCCAAAATCTGTATATTACATAACACAAATAATTGTTTGTGCCTGATGATATTTGAATATTGCGGCGATATTCGTGGATTCTATTTATACCACGCGAACATACCTGTCTGAAAATGATTTTATTAATTGGAAAAGTAACGCTGACGTTGATGATAGCGGCGCCCCAGCCGCAAGTAAATTCTTTAACATCATTATTGTTGACTCTCAGGATCGAATGCAACGGAACCTTTTCCGACGTAGCGTTCCTCATATTAGTATACTTTTCAGAAACATTAAATACATCCGAGAAGAAAGATATTCAATTGTTCTAAATGTACTTTATCTTCATCCAATGATAACTACAGCCAATGATTGCGGGTACTGCATATTGAATTAATTAGGTCCTCTACCTAAAAAAAAAAGAGTAAAGATGAATTATCGTCGATATCTAAAACGACTCTGCTTTACTTGTCAACTTAATGCCAGAGGATTTATATATTTATAACTTTATCAAGTGAAATAAATCAATATTCGTATATCCAACTGCTTCACTCTATCTAACTTTTTATTATCTATATATATGAACATTATGAATAATATGTATAATATGTTTCATGTATGTAATTCATTGTTCATACATTATTTAAGTATTGTTATACGTTAGTGTAATTTTAATGTACATAAATTTACATTAATATATAAATACCTAATTTATTCTTCCATATCTTGGTCTGATTAACGATTAAGAGATAGTGCTTCGTATCCGGATAGTGCGAAAATTATCACAGCACGTAAAAATCGCGATTACATTATATAACCTAATCGTATCACACGTGTCCACGTATCTCCATCTATTTCTGATTGTGACGTATGTTTACTTTTCGCTATTCGACCCATAATTTGGAAATATTTGGGTCGTCCGGACTTTTAAATGTCATCTGAACCGTGCCTGAGTTTTCTCACGGCACTCTTCACATCACGATCCCATCACTTGCACTCTTAACCGACTCCACCGACTCCAACTCCATATCACCTGATATCTCTGGCAAGTGGCAACCAAAGCCTGGCTTCGATTACTACAGCTGATCAATGTTCGTCCATAGATTTGCTCGATATAGAGATAGTCTTCAACTTTAGGAAGACTCCCTTTATTTCTTACTTCCAGCATAAAAAATACGTATATCTAGATTTATATTTTTTTTCTATATGTGTAATTAATGCACTATAATAATATACTTATGAGTTATGACAGTAAAATTTATTGTAAGAATTGAGTTCCTATATTAAGATATTAATGTATGTAGGCGTACGATTATATATATATATATATATATATATATATATATAAATTTTACACATATAACATTATAAAATGATTAAAAAAAAAAATAATAAAAGCTCCAATTTTTCTGACAAAATATATGAAGTTGTGATCTTTTAAAATAAAATCCTGCCTCTTAATTCTAATTTATCTAAATTTGCAAGAACCAATTATAATTTCCAATTATTCTCTCGCGTTTACAGAAAAGCTGTAAATTGATTGCCTACTGCGTCGATTTTACCGCGCGGGCAAGCATTTTGCCACGTCAGAGAGAAGCGTGAGAGCGGCCACGCCGGCTTTTTGGTTGGGATCGGCGATCTCCCCCGGACACTAGCGCCCCACGTCCACGTTTTCAAAAAAGAAACTACGTACCACGTCTATCTTATAACATTGTCGATCAAATTATAACACGAGAACGTGGACGTGGTCCGTGCTAATTGTGCTACGTGCACAAATTGTAAATAAATAGATCACGTTTATTTTGCGATGTTGCTGATGAAATGACATTCCAATTTATGTCTGTATTACATCCACAAATTGTAGATAAAGAATGTAGCATATATAATATAAATAATATATATAATATAAATAATATATATAATATAAATAATATATATATAATATATATGCATATATAATATAGCATATATTATATAATGCACGATTAGCACGGACACGAACCACGTCCACGTGCTTATCCAGCGCCTTGTCAGAGGCTCGAAAATTCTCGGCGATACGCGGAAAACATGTTGAGCAAAGAGGTGGCACGGAATCCTAATCAGCGCGCGTATCGACAGAGGTTTGTTGGTAAGGTGAAAAACTGCTGAGCGAAGAGGCACGGATTCCTGGACAGCGGGCCTCGTCAGAAGCTCGAAAACTCCCGCCGATACGCGGAGAACACGTTGAGCAAAGAGGTGGCACGGAATCCTACTAATCCTAGCCATCACGCCTCGATAGAGGCTCGAAAACTCCC